CGGATTTATTTGATATAAGGGTGTATTCTTATGTTCCCGGTACCGAAGATTTTTAAAATGACTTCCATTTTAAGATTACACCAGTGAGTTTCGACTTGTTTAAGTTTTTCGGATTTATTTGATATAAGGGTGTATTGTTATGTTTCCAGAACCGTAGATTTTGAAAATGACCTCCATTTTATAATTACGCTACTGCGTTTCTTTCGGAAAAAGGTTAATTTGATTTGGAAAAGGTTGAATTTTACTTGGAAAAAATTGAATATAACATGGAAATATTACACTGAAAAAATCTAAAATGTTAAAATAAATGGATAAGCAACCGCGTTATCATAATTGTTTTTGTATTTTTCAAAAGCTATGCCGTCGATAATATAGTAAGTGGCCTTCGTTTCGAAAAAAATCGAAAATAGACAAAAATTCGAAAGTTGAATTTGAAATGAAAAAGGTTGAATTTGAATTGAAAAAGGTTGAATTTGAAATGGAAAAGGTTTAATTTGACTTGGAAAAGGTTGAATTTGATTTGGAAAAAGTTGAAATTGACTTGGAAGTGCTATATTAAAACATTTAGATTTATATTACATACAAATAACAATAAATTGAGTAAAATATTTTATTCTTCAATTGTGTGATCAGCCAGTCGATTTTTTTTTCGATTTTTTTTTCTCGGTCTTTGTTTCAATTAAAACACCCACTTCTTTCGCCGCGGTTTGCAGTGTTTGTTTTCGGTTTAGAATTCCAACAAGTGAGCTGGCGGGCAGTATCTGAAGGGTTCTTGACACCCAACGGAAGCCGCTCATTGTGCAAATATTGATTGTGCCCCTTGTCCACCGCAGGCTCGCTGAACAATGGCCGCCGCACACTTCCGAACGGCACAATCCCTTCGACAAATTACCCATTCGAGTAGTTTACAGACACTCTTAATCTTATAATTGTCCCTTGCTAACTGTTGTGCAAAAAGTTTACCTTTGCTAGAAATACATAGAGTGACATAAAACGGAGTGACATTCTATCAACATTATGTGAACCAGTATGACGTTACTTCAAGTCCCAATACAAATATTTATCTGACTCTCGAAATAAATTACTTCAAGTGGTATGTGAACAGCGGTTTGTCCGGGTTTGTTTTTAGCATTCAACCTATTACTCATTGTCACAGATCATCGTTAATTTGTATTAAATATTTAACAAATAATCTTTTTTTTACATATTTTTATTGCAATTTACAACAGTAAACATACATACAACCAGTAAGTTTGCTATAGGAATACATTACATGGTACTTGTGAAGAAGCTACCCATTGGTAACACTTCAAAGATAAATTAATTTAGGAGGTCCCTTGGCCATCTTCTTTTCAGACGCCTCGGAGGGTTGTCAGGAATTATGTTGGATGAAAGGTTACAAACTAGAGGATTGGGGTGTCCAAAGAGTTTGGAATGAAAAGAGGTATATCTGGTTCGGGCCAAGTCTTCCACAAGAGGAATGTTGAGGTCTTTATGGATACTTTTATTTGTTACATAATAAGGAGCATTTAGGATTTTACGGAGGATTTTGGATTGTAAGGATTGGATAAGGGAAGAGTTTGATGTTTTTGTAGAGCCCCAAAGCTCAATACCGTATGTCCAAATGAGCCTGATGAAGGTAGTGTCAATGAGTTTTTTATAGAATATTGGAAATTTAGAGCGTTTGTCAAGTAAGTGTTGTGTTAGTCGGAATCTGTTGCCAGTTTCTTGTATTTTAAGTCTAGTATGAGGATTCCAGATAAGGCGTTTGTCAAGAAGGAGTCCTAGGTAATGGATCTGTTCGACAGGTCCCTGAGGAATACCAGCGGACTGGGAAAAGAAAGATGAGTTATAATTTACTTTAAAGGTTCTATCTGTGAGGTAAGAGCGGATTAATAGGAAATATGTAGAAGGCAGGAATTGACGGAGTTTGTACAGATGGCACTGCTGAATAGTGGAATGAGATGTTCGAAATCTAAACTGATGGTCAGGAATCAAGTGATTTGAGTCTAGGATTGGGTAAAAGCGTTTTAACGTAATTTTTTCTAGCATTTTTCCTATGATGGTAAGTAGGGAGATAAGACGGTAAGAGGATGGTTATTCAGGTGGCTTTTTGGGTTTTAGAATCATTTTGATTATGGATAATTTCCAAGAACCTTTAAAATTCTATTATTTAATGTGTAGTTGTTTTCTATTATTTACTTAATCACAACACAAGCTCACATGTCGTTGCCTAATAATCATGGTAACAACATGCCTCATTTCTTTTGGTCACAACAATCTTTCTCTCTGTGTTTCCTTGCTGCCATGTATTTCCTCTATCTATCTCCTTTCCGATGGACGTCTCTTCCTCCTATTCCATGGCATATTCTTTTATGTCATCGTTCGTCCGACATTATCATAACATGTTCAAACCAACCAAGTTTTTCGTCTTAATGAAATAGTTTTTTTTTTTTTTTTTTTTTACTTTTTTCCTAATGCTTTTATTTTAATGAGTTTTATTCTATATTTCCTACAACTACGTCTCCAAAAATCGATTTTTCGGACAAGTTTTCTTCCTGAGTCTGATGAAATACACTCTGATGAGTATACACCTCTGATTCATTTAATTATAATAATAATTTTATTAAAAATTATTTAATTATAATAATTCATTTCAACAAATGAATAGAATAGCTTCTGTTTTGTTTGAATCTTGATGTTCTTATCCTACCTCTGATATCCTTTTTCATACGCTGCTTTCCTTCAAAAGCCACCTGTCTAAATATCTAAATTGTTCAGTTGTAAGTCTAATAACACTACCTAATGTGTAGTGAGGAGTTTCAATTTCCCAAGATCTAAAACAATTAATCTTATTTACATTAATTTTCGATGTATTTTATGAAAAAATTAAAATGAAAATTCTAGATGAAATAAATCATAAATAACTAAGAATATTCGTATTTATTTTTATCAGTGTATATACCTTCTATATACACCCCTACAACACTCCTAATCTTCCATTGTCAGAAACTGGAAATCTTTTTCTGTCAGCTCTTCAGTACTTTTTCTTTCACTTTTTTTCTGAAACGAATACCCAATCCGTGTACTTATTGGATTTAAACAAACCAAGAGCCAAAAAAGCTCGATTGAGAAAATTAAAATTCAAGCCAACGACGACCTTTTTTTCGATATGTATGAGATTTTACATCTTCACCAAGCTCCTGAAAGTCAAACTATTAATCAAAATTACTATATTTACGTTCTTTCTCAAGAAAAAAGAGGCACGACCTCTGAAAAAAACTGACAGAAGATGAGCACTGTTTCAAACCATGGAAAAATTTAAATGGAGCGTTGTGGGGACAGCGTAGAAATGTATGTTGAAGATTATAATAAGCAAATATGCATGAAATCGAAATAAAATTGTTTGCTCCGTCAGTCACGCTATTTAATAGTCAAACTTTGCATATTCCATGAAGTAGACTTGCAGATGATATAACAGCATTTTTACATATCACTTCTTTTTTTTACATAAATGTGATATTTAAGGGGTGTTCTAAAAATCTATCATTGCTATTAAATACCTTCTATTGTCGATTCCCGTAAATTGTTGTATATATATAAAGGAATTTTTTGTTCTTATTTTTTTTTTTTACTATTTGTATTGTATAATTGAATTCCTAGATTTCCAACCAAGCCTATGGTCATTCAGAAAGAGCTTATCAAGCTCATTGTCATTTTCAAGATAAACAAGAAAATGCTTAGTGGTAAAAATAAATGCAATATAAGATCGTTATGTATAGGTGTATACCCAACGCCATTTATTCATTCCCTTGATAAATGCGGAAGATAAAAAGAAGGATATTATTCACCATTAGGATGATGCCGAAGTTAGGAGGCGAAGGATCCCTTCTGCGATGTGGGATCGGGTTGCTAATTGGATTGTTATACCTAACGAGGGGTTTGTGTGAAAGATTTAACAGAATCGATAATCCTCAGTTAACTTTATTGGAAGTATCAGGTATTCTTCCTTGATAAAGGGTACCAAAATAATATATTATATCTTTTTTTCTTGGTTTAATATGGTTGAGAAGTTCCGATTTTCAATTACTCAATTTGACATTCTCAAACTTCCTTTAATTTTTGTATTTCTTTATTAAAAAACATTTATGTTGATGTGGCCGGAGAATATTATTATATTAACATAAATTATTTTAACTGTGTCTTTATGATCCCTCTTATCATACGTTGTAAAATATTAGTTGTAACTTTATTTTTAATTCGCATTGTCAGAAGTTGTTAACCACGAATTGACTTCGTGGCATTATGTCTATTAAATTTAACAAATACTTTTAACTGTCGAGTATCATACATTCTTGGTGAGGCAGAGGTGTCCAGAAGAGGGTTGTATGGCCCATGTAGCGAAATTGTCGAGGAGGCACAGTTTCATGAGATTTTGAATTTTGGAAAGAATCCATATTTTGTGGGGTTAGGTTTGAAGGCACTTTCGAATTGGGGAACTAGGAGAAATCGTAGTACAGACACACTAAGTGTAATCGTATATGATCTGTTCTTTCTAATTATGCTTAAGCTTAGTCTATTTTCAAGAAGAGAGAGTAATGCATTTTCTTAGGAGGGAGGATGGGCGTTTAATTCGCCTTCGATCTTATTGAGATGGGCTCGTGTTTTCTAAAGTGATACTGATTACTCTTTCATAATAAGTATGTTTATAATGTGGGAAAGTTAGAAGCATGTAAATAGAGGATTTTGACGTACAAGTATCATATAATAAAACAGAACTATTTTTTCCTTTTCCCAAGAACAAATGAAATTAATCTGGTTTATTTTTTTTAAACCTGTTATCTACGTGGGTATAAACCTCATATAGCCATTTTAAAACAAAATACAATTTTATCAAGAAGATAACAAATTAAATTATTATATCCCATCCCAATATTTTATTATTATTATAGTATTTACCTCCAAACCATTTACTTTAACTTCTATATGATTTTTCTCTCCAGGGTGCTGCAGAAGTGCCAGTAGCACACTTCGAACCTCAGGTGGCGATGCTTTGTCATTCCAAAGACGATGCGTACCATAGCCAATACATGACAGAAGCGGGTCGATGGACAACAGACCCGCAACACAAGTTTACCTGCGCCAAAGAGAAAATGGACATCCTAGAATACTGCAAGAAGGTAACATTTTTCAAGTACATTAAAATTATTATATTATGCATTCATTATTAATTAGTTTCGCAATGGAATAATGATTTATTCGTTGTACTCAAATTGAATCAATCCTAGTCGGGCTAAATCATTCTTACACCAAGAAATCACTTCGCATTGTGGTCTGAAAGCTACTATAATTTGTTCCCATACAATCGAAACTATTGATTCTATAAGCTTCATAATTTCAATATTTAATTTGTATATAAACACAAAGTTTTATTTTTCTTTCTTATCCCTAAAGATCAGTTGTTGGGTTTTTTAAATGTTTCTTTATGGGATGGAGTCCCTTGAACTGCAATAGTCGCATGCATTTTAAGGGAATTGTGAGTTTAAGGTTTTAAAAATTGTTATGTGCTGAGTCGTTAGTATAGTGATGAGGCTCACTAGTTGTCTTATGTCATTCCAGTTAGTTAGTAGTCCTGAGTCTAGTCAAGTCTGAGGCTTTTTGTAAGCGTTTGCCACCTCTGTGGCAGTCCCGTCTGAGTTTGTGTCTTAAAAAGTGGGTTAGTCACCTATTGCAGGCTATTAAAAAATTTGACATGCCGGCATGTTATAAAGTCTGTTACAGTCAGTTGTTCAAAAGTTCTTGGAGTTGGTCTTCTTTTGTCCCCTGTAATGATGTATGTCTCGCAATACGTCTCAGAGCTCCATTCTGAAACTGCTGGAGTTTAGTTGCAGTTGAGGCTATTCATATTCATATGAGATATTCGTTAAGATCGGCGCTCCATGAAGAAGGGCCGGTCTTAATACGCTTTTATAAATCAATAATTTGAGGAGGAGGGATATTATATTTAGTGAGATGAACAGATGATTTAGCCTGTGAGATTTGGTCTTCTGTAGCTTGACCTTCTTCTTGCAGTGGCGGAATAGTGTTGGGTGCCTGTCAATCGAGACACCCAAGTACACTACGCTCTCTGCTGGCCTATTTGTTTTGCCCGCTACCCTATATATCTTAGGGTATACTATATATGTAGCTTTGTTATACTTTGCTCCTACAGTTTCAGCCGTGTATACTGAGAATGATATTGGTGATTGCACAGGCCCTTGGAGAACACCGCTGGTGAGTGCCATCTCTGGATAGCGCATTCCCAACTCTTACTCTGACTGATCGCTGCAGTAGAAATGGCAGGAATAGGGTATATACCTGTACAGAGAACTCAACAAGGCATAAAAGCCCATGAGACACTGAGTCGAACTCTTCGGTACAATCTATTGAAACCATCGTTGTCACTTCGTTTTTGGCAATATTCTGTCTCACTTCCAACTGTCAATTCACCAGATGGTGATCTGGACAGAGGCTGGCCGGCAAGCCGCTCTGCTCTTGTGGTATTAAAGCAATCTTTGTGCAGTAGGTTTTGAGGTAATTTAATATAATTTTCTCAAAAACTTTGCCCATGTGTGGAAGCAAGTTTATGGGCTTGTAATCAATATTATGAGGTCCACTCTTCGCGGGTTTCAACAGTGGTGAGAAAATAGCTCTTCATCATGCTTCACGGAAGTATCTCAACTTGATGCATGAGTTGTAGAGATTAGTTAGATGTGCTATACCTCTTCCAGGCAATTGCTTTAATAGTATTGTCCGTATCTCGTCGTGACCTGGGGCTATATTCCCCCTTTTACGGCGGAGTATTGCCTGTAGCTGTTTTGGAGACACAAACATGTAGTTATTGCCTATTTCCCCTAATGGTATCTCCATACCGTTCTGAGGCCTTCGTTTTATTGCTCCATCATAATAATCATCGAATTTCTTCACCTGCTCCTCATCTGTTAGAAGTTTATCATCATCGTGGAGTAATGTAAAACATTGTTTCAGTGTTCTTGTTCTCAGTAGCTTCCAGAACAACTTGTGGTCGCCGTGTATTACACGCAACTTCTCATGCCACAATGACGTCCTTCATTGTTTTATGAGGTTACGATCTGTGTGGTGGTACAATCCACCAACGTTTTCACCTCATGAGCTCTCGTCCTGTTTCATTTATTCTTCTACTTATTGAAATGGCGATATACACGTCTTTGGAATATCGGTATCGGCTATAATTTTTATGTCGATTAATGTCATGAAAATTGATGAAACGAAGTTCATTCAGCAATAAGAAGAATATTTTAAGTGTAACTTTAAGAACTTCAACGTAAAGAAAAGAAAGGCAAATATATAAATCTTAAGCATATCGGTATTGGATATAAATTCTATATTTGCGAATCTAAAAAAAAAAACGGATTGAGACGTTCATTCAACAATAAGGAGAATATTCCAAGTGTAAGAGCATCAACGAAAAGAAAAGAAAGACCGTAATATATTACTTAAGATTATCGATATCTGATATAATTTCTGTATAAGTCGATCCCTATAAAATTGATTGATACCTTTATTCAGAAATAAAGAGTTTATTCCAAGTTAAAACCGCACCTCGATTGAAAAAAGAACATTGCCGATATATCGATATATCATCCTTTGAAATATCGCTGTCGTTCCATTATTAGTATCGACCAAAATGCTAATATCGGTTATCCCTAATGTAAATAAAATAAATTGAAACTTTATTCTTATTGTTAGTACTTTTTTTGACAACAACAATAACAATCACATACTACTTTATTGTTTTCCTCAGAAAAAAAATCTTTTTTTTTTCTTGTGAATATGATGCCCACGCTCTGGCCATGAATGAATAAGTACATCCTCGAAGGAAATTTATTAGTTTTGGATGTTTTCCAGGAGCCACCCTCGATGTGCTATATCTTCCTGGTCTCCTTATCCCTTTTTCTGATATTGTTTTTAGGCCCTCCAACTACTAACGTTCTTGTTCTCGATAGACGTTGGAGACCCATTAGCTTTAACGGTGTTATCATTTTGGCAATAGTATTATATATATTTTCCTTTGATTCATTCTTCAGTCTCGTTTCATCTTGACACGAAAATCATCCGAAAAATGAAAATATCCCCTTTTATTCTGTCATTTGTAGTAATAATTTGATTCGACAAATATTTTAATCATTCTTAATACAAACAATATTCAAAAATTCCGAAAAACTAATAGGTTTAGAAATATCTGTTGGGCCCAACCAGGTTGACCAAGTTTTATTTTTAACGTTCTATACAAATCGCATTACATTAAATAATATTTAACAATAATCATGTCATTTCTTTACACAATATTTTTTTTGCAAGGAGTAGATCTTCTTTGACTTGTGAATTTAATAATTGATAGATGCCCCGAAAAATTTATAATTAGGGCCCATGGTTTCCCTTCACCATCCTGATTGTCAATGGAGATTAGTTAAATGTATTTATCTGATACTTTGTCACAGATTCATATAAGTAGCAGGTACCTCCTCTGAAATGTGACAAACTGAAAGTATCAGGCTGTTTCATTCCCAGTTAGAGTTGCCAGGTTGGGTTTCCCCTGTATTTAAAGTTTTTTAACCTGTAGGTTTTTTTTTGTTTCTTTTTAATGTTAAAGAGGTTTTTTTGTGATATCTTTTATTTATTGCCAAACGATTTCAACTTTTTTATTAACTTTTTTTTTCAACACATACTATTTTAAGGGAACTTATTTGGTACTAACGGAATTGGATGTCACAATAAAGAATATTTGACTATGGAAATTTTGCCTTACCAGCTTACTATACTACACTTTTGGTAAATAATATAATAACCAAAATTTCAAGTTGTGTTTGTTTCAATGTTTCGTTTGTATTACAATAAAAATGTTGAAGGCATTTAGGAATAGACCAAACCCTTTTTCCCTTTAAAAATAAATAAAACAAAACTAAAGGTTTAAATATCCTAAATCCAGGAGAAAACCAAACCTGGCAACCATAGCTGGGAGTAATTGAGAATGCCATCAAATTTAAGTAATATTAAATATTAATGAACTAAATTAAAATCAAAATAAACAAAATTGTGTTTTGATAATTATTGTTTTTTTTTCATTTTAGTTTCAAGTAGATATATATATTTTATGACAGATGTTTATAGTTATTAAAAACGGAGGATTAATTATTCAATTTTTTTTTTTTTTGTTTCCTACGGTTGATATGTCCAAAACTCTTTCTGCCAAACTTCATATCAATTGATTATCTTTTTATTTAATTTATTTTACTATAGATTTAAAAAAAAAATAATCATCCAAAATTCGGTAACCAGCGATTTGTAATCTTAAGTGTTTTTTTTTCCTTAAAGATAGATTAGTTATTTTATATTCGTGTAAGAGGTGAAAAAATTATTATGCTCAGAATAGAGAATTTCCACTCATGTTTTATTTTTCGCACATCAAGGAACAAATTTGGTTCCGTTTCTGTGTGTTGAATACATTTGATGGGCATATCACCAATTAATTGACACTAGCGGATTCATGATTTCATTTTTCATTTTTTTTTTCCTTTTTTTTTGTGGAAGGGTGGTTATCAATCCCTCTTCCCAATAAAAATAGAAAGGGGGACGATAATATTATTTTCCTCCCGCCCCCTCTCAATATTTTGAAGAACAAAAACGAAATCAAAATAAGTAACAATTAATTTACTTGAATTAATTAAATCAGTAAACTAAAATAAATTACGGAAACTGTAAAAGTCGACTAGATGGCTAAGCGAAGGACTAGAGGTAGGTATGGAAGTATTTTACCAGACCCTATATAAATATCTTTTCACACTTATTTGCCTACTAAACAATCAAACTAGTCTTTGATAACTATTTATTAATGAATATTTCTGAGAATCTTTGTAATCCAAAAGTTGGATTATGGCTATTCATCAAACTTATTATTAATAGTTGTGCTATTATCATATGCTAAATAGAGGGACAAAGATTCTCCGAAACGGTCATTAATAGATAGTGATTAAAAGACTAGGTTTGATTTTTTATTATATTGACCTAAAGAGAGAGAAAAATACTTTATTGAAAGTAGTGCTGTCATTTACACACAGCATACCGATCAATCCATTTGGAATTAGTGGAAAAAGATATTATAGAAAAAAAGGTCAAAATTGGACAATGAAAAATAAAAATATGTAATATATTTAATTGTTTTTTAATGTATTTTCAAATATATCCGTACTTTAAAAAAAATCTAGTATATAAACATACATATATAAATTTATTATTATATAAAGTACTATATTGTTTGTTTTACAATAATTATGTTGGTTATATTAATTATCACTCATACTTTTGTATAAATATAAACTCACGAGAAATTTTTTGGAAGGAGGGTCCATCATCCCCCCACCCAGAATGTAAAATCTGCGCCGCACCTAGGGTGGTGCTCATCTCACCCCCAAGAAAATATATTGCTCTCCTGTTCTTAAAAATGGTGCAAATGAAAATAAAATTATGTATAAACATTGTAGTTTAGTTTCCCCCTTAGTCATTATGACTAAGAGCAGCAATATTTAAATATTTTTTAAGAAAAGGCTGAGATCTAGATGTAATAATACATATTAATCGCAAAAAGCAAAATCCCTTTCAACAGAAACATGAATTAAAATGTTTTTACACTGTTTATAATGCCTGTATTTCATGTTAACTAAGGTGAAAACCCTGGCAGGAAGGGTTTTCTAACTAGTGACGGAGTAATACCAAATCAATCAGATATCATCTTTTGACTCCAACATGCCAATGATATCTTTACAGTATCCCCTTCATGGTTATGGATATTTTATGAATACTCCAATATTTCCTTGATTTGTTTATTCCAAGTTGGGTATTAACTTCTTAATATCTTCTCATAATTGGAACTAATAATAACTACTCTATTATTAAATCAGTTTCAATAACCAAAATTTTAAGATTTTACTGTGTTTTTATTGTTATTTTTTATTTAAAAGTATTCTAATATTTGTTTATTTTTTAATATTTTCTTTTAGGTTTATCCAAAACATGATATTACTAACATTGTGGAATCCAGTAGATTTATCAAAATAACAAACTGGTGTAGAGTGGGTCATTCAAAATGTAAGCACACTGCGTGGGTCAAACCATTTAGGTGTTTAGGTGAGTGAGATTACGTATCTTTGAAAAAAGAAAAAAGTGCAATTAGCTTTAGTTATGAAAAAATTAGAATTTTTTTTTTCTTTTGAGAGAGAGAGAGAGAGAGATTAGTTGATTGATTCTGTATTATATTACGGCCTTATGCTCTTCTTATAGATGAATGTACAAAATAACAAAATTTCTTAAATAATAATAAAACTCAATTCAATTTTCATAACAAAATAAATCAGTTTGTTGCAAAAACTCATTAAGAAACATTTCATCAAATTAAATTACTGAGTAATTTGGTGAACTTTTCTATTGTGAAATCAGAACATTGTGCTCTAACTGTTAATATTTTTCATACTTAAAATTGTTATTATAATTTTGATGAATGGACAAATTTTACTATATTCATAGTTGATACAAAAAGATAGAACATACATGTGTGTCTTCTTTATTTAAACAACTATATTGTTATTTCTTGTTTTTTTTTTCTTTTGTTTAAATCTTCCAAAGTTCGAAGAATTGTTGAATGTATGAATAATCTTTAAAATATCGAATTTACAGAAGGTCCATTCCAAAGCGATGCTCTCCTAGTACCTGAAAACTGTCTTTTTGACCATATTCATAACCAGACAAAATGTTGGGAATTCGAAAGGTGGAATCAGACTGCTGCACAGGCTTGTCTAGACCGGTCAATGTCTCTTCGTACATTCGCTATGCTTCTTCCTTGTGGAATTTCATTGTTCTCAGGAGTAGAGTTTGTTTGCTGTCCATCTAAAGGTAAGATTAGTTTCTTGAGCATCATATTTAATAAATAAAGTTAGATATGAAAAGAAGGTACAAACCAGCTCAAAACAGAAAGGGGGTTGTTGCTAGATTAAGCTTTCCTTCTTATTTATTCCTACTCATTTCATTCCTTCTTTCTTAGTTACTTATGAAACCTTAGTTGTTTAAAAAATTGTTACAAGTAATTTTTTTATAAAAATGTTATTTATGTTTAAATAAAATAGTCATTCTGATTTAATCCTTAATTATTATGAGTTTTTTTCTTCCCTTTTTGGCTACATGGGATTTTTCCTAAACCAAGAGAGAAGGTGGGGGATTAATGCTAAATTTAAAAGACACCCAGGTACCAGGATTTGAACTTGTAATCTTCGGTTTATCTGATTGTCGGACAACGTGTATTTTGCACAGGTGTTCGCCTACTAGGCCACTCTATCCCCTGGTTATTTTTAGTTAATTATAATTTGATTTTTATAATTTTCAATAAATTTTATTATATTTATTATTCTAATTTTATTATAATAAGATGAAATTCTTCTCACAAAAGATTGTACCATACAATTTTATATATTTTATCATTATCTGCATTTTTCATATGTTTTTATGTTTTAAACTCATATTAAATTTCATCAGTAGATTAATAAGTTGTTATTGTAGCAGATAAAATACCACTAAAAAAAACAGTGGTTCCAGCCCTACCCATGGGTGGGTCAGAGGTATTCGATAATGTTGATGATGGTGAAGACGACTTGGACCCAGATGACGATGAAGACTCTGAGGATGATGAAGAAGATGATGACTATGATGGTTATGATGATATCCTAAGCTCAAGTACCACCAGTACACAAGCTCCTACAACTGAGCCTCCTAGGCCTACCACAGGGATACCTACACCTGATCCATACTTTACAAATTTTGATCCACGTGCTGAGCATCAAGCTTACAAGGAAGCACAGCAGCGCTTAGAAGAGCTTCATCGAGAGAAAGTCACAAAGGTAACTTTGATCATTAATTTATTATTCTTATGGGATCAAATAAAAAAATATTATGTTATCATCAGCTGCATACAATTTAAAAAAAACATTTTATTTTTCATTTTTTCCATTCCATCTTTATTTATTTGATTCAATATTTAGGTAAATATTTATTTAAATTATCTATTATAATATTTGTTAGCCTACTAAATCTGGATATTAATATTGTTTTCCATACTTGAAATTCAGGTAATGAAGGATTGGTCTGATCTTGAAGAAAGGTACCAAGATATGAGGAGCTCAGATCCAAAATTAGCTGAAGAATTTAAACAAAGGATGACTCTTAGGTAAATAACTGAAATGCTGACTTTCAAACATAAATGATACTATATATAAAGTAATCCATATTTATACTTACTTTTTTTTTAACTGACCTTTTTAATAGGGTGTATAAAAAAAAATGACCGTTTTATCAAATTCAATATTTCAAAGGACTGTAAGTATTTTAATACTTACCAATACTTAATAATACCTTTGGAGCATTCTCTAAGCTTGTTTAATCTCATTCCAATTCTTCCGAAAAAAAAAAAAGCCTCAGTTTCGTTATTTGTTTCAAAGAAGAAACGAAGTGTCCTATGAAATTTTCGTAATTTAAGGCATCACTGGAAAAAAAATTTCACAGCCGCTTAAGCAGCTCATGATATTATTATTAAATATGAAGGGGAAAGTGTCCTTGACCAGCGCACTGCGTGGCTTTGGTTTGAATAATTTAGCAGTGGAGATAAGATGTAGGAAAGGAAGAAGGGCTCACAATTAATGGATATTGATGAGGTTCTACAGGAAGCTGTTCATCAAAAAATTTGATAATTTTTAGGAAGTTGAAATTGCGGTCCAAGAGTTCTTTGACAGCCATCCCAGAGAATGGTATCAGCATCGGAACGAGAATTGGCTATCAGATGGCTAATGACGGCAGATAACAATAGACTATACTTAAGTATTAATTGTATTTTATATCAAAGAAATATTAATACAAATATTTGGCTGAAAAACAGTAATTTTTTTTTATACACCCATTAATTCCAGTGAATTAGCCATTTACAGATCAATTGACCTTATTATAAAACAAAACAAAAAGTTTCTATTTGGTTACCAAATTACTTTATTATTTCATTTGGGTGGTTGGTTAAATTTCCACAATATTTCATCATAAATCGTTTGGTTAGAGGTCATGTTTAGAGGTCTTCCTCTTATTGCATGGAGATAAAAGACCAGGGGTTAAATCATCTAAATTTATTTATTTATTTTATTTTTCAATGAAATTGCCCATTGACTACTTTCATTGTTTTACTTTATCTTATTTTTAAAATTTAAGATATCTACATTATAATATTCAGAGAAAGACTCAACAATACACAATTTATTATATTATAATATTTTCATAGTTTTCAAGAATTATTTACTTATGATATATTAATTACAGGTTCCAGCAAACAGTTCAATCATTAGAGGAAGAAGGAAATGCAGAAAAACATCAATTAGTTGCAATGCATCAACAGCGGGTTATGGCCCATATTAACCAAAGGAAGAAGGAAGCCATGACTTGTTATACACAAGCATTAAATGATAGCCCTATCAATGTAAGTAAATACTTCTAATTATATGCATCAGATAATACTATAAAATGGAATGGTTTAGAGAGAGGCTACATATTGACAATTGTTAAACACAATATTACTATAATTTGAAGAACATTGTAAAAATTATCAATCATGTAATTTGCTTGGTGTATTTGTAAATTACAAAATACAAATGAGGATGAATGAAACATAAATCTTACATATTAAAAAGGATTTATTACTTCAATTTCCAACACAGAACATTCAATAGTTTTCTCAATTTTGTTAAAGAATGGGAAAAAAATAAAAGGAGGAATAACAAAGTAAAATTATGAAATAGTTGTGTGCCTTTAAAAAGAATGATGGGTATAATAATACTGTCTGATGAATCCTGTAGATCCTTTTATTTCAGAATTATATAGAAGGATACTAATTATCTAAATATCATACCTAACAAAACTTCTTTTATGCTGTATGCCTCCTGCCAAATAAACATAAGAACATAATTTTGGAAACAGGAATATGATACACAAGCCTTGCAACTTTGTTGTTTAAATAAATGATGCAGTAAATTACAGCATGGGACTATTCTGCAAGTGGATTGTCACTAATTAACCCTATTTAAAAGCTAACTTTTATTGTATATTTCTTCTTTTTGTAAATTATAGAAAAAATTGTTCCTTTTTTCGCCTTCATAAAACATATCTTTTATTATTGACTTGTTAAAAAAAATATAATAGATAAACAATATTTTGGACAATTAGGTAAAATAAAACTCACTTAGATAATGTAAAAAGTTAAAAACATTTCAGGTAATTAAAATTTTCAATTATAATGTTCTTTTAGACCCATCGTGTACAAAAGTGCCTTCAGAAACTACTTCGAGCACTTCACAAAGATCGCCATCATACCATTTCCCACTACAGACACCTGCTCACATCAAGTCTGGAACAAGCTGAACGAGAGAAATCCATCACTTTGGAACATCTTGTCGATATTGATCATATGGTTAATCAATCATTACAAATGCTTGACAGGTTAGAATGTAAATTAATTCATTGACTGTTAAAAAATAAATTATCAGTATTCAAAGATTTCAGACTAGAATTAATTTAATTTCATCCTACAATTAAAGAACCCAGAAGGAGGTCTTAAATAATATTAAATTTAATTTATCTTTTTATACATTATGTGGCTTCTTTTTCCCTTATATTTTATGTGCACATTGAAAAATATAATTTTATAATAACAATAAGGGATCATCCTAGATATAAAATGCCGGCCTTAGACATTTGGCATTCCCAGACATTGACGTCAACTAACTCTCTCCCTAAAAAATTAAATTTATTTCTTAAGCTGTTTTATATTATGTAATATTTGAAAATTATTTCATTCAACATTTTTCTAATACAGTTGTTTTGTTGATAGGCTAAAATTAATTATTTTAATAAGTTTTCTATTTTTTTTAATTTCTAACAAGTAGCAAGCACCCCTAAAAATCGGCCGGTGCCCCCAACCGAGGCCCCTCCAATTCGGCACCCCGGAAATTGTCCTGGTTGCCCCAACCAAAGGCTGGCACTGTAGATATATACTTTTTGTTAAAAAAAATAATCAGAATCAGTTTAAGAATGGCGAATTTACGAATGAACTTACAGTCTAAAACATCAAATAGAAAAACTTCTTTTTTTAAAAAGGTTTATTAATTATAAATTAGCCTCAGCTAAAAAAAATACTATATTATTCTCTTTAAACTTTTTTTTTTTTCAATTCAGATTCCCTGAGTTATCTTCAAAAATATCACAGTTGATGTCTGACTACATGCAAGCCCTCAGAAGTAAAGACGACACTCCTGGATCCCTCCTTTCCATGACCAGAGAAGCTGAAGCTGCTATACTTGACAAATACCGAGCTGATGTCACTGCACTTCAAGAAGGTAAAACTTTTAATAAGTTTTATTATAAATGCAAGATATGGTATTAATTTATTTTTTATAATCATTTTCTATGTATTCTTGTTGTGAACACCTCAGATAAAGAAAGAGAAAGAGTGCTGGAGAAGGAACGCAAGGAAGCTCACAAGAGGGAAAGAACTGAACTGAGGGAAGAAGCTAGGAAATACGATCCAGAAACTGTTGAAGATGAGCACAGTACTGAAACTGGACCATTGACTTCAGCTGCCCCAGTTCTCCATGAGCAACAACCACAACTTTATGCACATGCTATGACTCACGATATCAGCCACAATGAGCCAGTAAGTACAATTTTCCTGTTAAATATTTATGAATGTTTTGGAAAGTTATTAGTAATATTGGAAATCATTAATGGTTTCAATAAATTTTAGCAGTCACAAAACAAAATTTTAAAGAAAATAAACCATCTTGTGACAAGCCAATAAAATTATGAGCATACTAAAAACTAACATAAATATGCAATAAGAAACTGATCAAAGGATATAATTTAAAATCTTTTTCTATTGATTCAACTATCTTAAAACATGGAAATCAAATGATTTATTGAAAGTGGTTTCTCTTTCTATAACTATTATAGTTTTCTAAAAACTTTTTTTTCAATTTAAGCACATTTGTTTTATAGGAATATTTTTTAAAAGATCCTTAAAAAAACGTTAATAATCTTTCCATGATTTTCTCTGGTTTGTAAATAAATGAATAATTTTCTTAGATTTAAAATGATTCACATCTTATCATTATTTCAGTTTCTTAACTCTACAACTGATAATTGATATCCAATGTTTAAAATAAACTGCAATATTTTTTTTTCTTTTTGGTTTTTCTTTCTGCATATATGTGATTCTGGTTTTTCTGCCCTGGAGATGCCTGAATTGGCAAAATGTTGGGAAGTTAACTATTCAATTGTATGTTGGAGATTCTCACGGCTTTGTTGTTTTGGATTTTTCCATTTATAATATAAAAGTTTAAACTAAATATAACATATTTCTTTATAATTACAATTTGTAATTTATGCTCCTTAGAAAACTATCCAGTTTTTAAAAAAATGGATTCATATGTTATAGTTCTGTCATTAATGCATCTCACGCCTACCTCTCATGCCAATGTCTCACTCCAGTGCTTTTTCCCCTGTCTGCTTAATTTTTGAGAATTTAATCTTGAATCAATGTTTTGACTGATTCCTTATTTATTTATTACTTATTACTTATACATGTACATTATTTACTTATAAGAATTTATATTTTGGAATAATTGGTTCGCTGTAACGATCCTTTCATAAATCAGTGTCCAACAACTGTTGTCAGCTACTGATACAGGATGTCACCTGCCAGACACAGTCTCTAAATACTTTGTTTTGGCACTATCTGCCTTGTTTATCTGCACACATTTTACAATCCCCTTACAACAGCCCATTCGTTCACTTTACAACTGATTCAAATCCATTGGGTATTCAAGCCATCCCTATAATTATTATTATTATTATCGTGGCTCTGGTGTTGAATCCTGGCCTCCTCCAGCAGGTTCTGCCAATTGTCTTGGTTCCTTGCCGCCACAATCCAATTTCAAAGCCTCGGGATATTTTTTTCATCAGTAACAACACCATCAGTCCATCACAGCTTTGGTCTTCCTCTTCTCCTGGTACCATGGAGTGACTCATTCAGCAGTTGTCTTGGTGGATCCTCATTGCCCATCCTGATGACGTGTTACACCCATCTCAGTCTTGTAATCTTCATCACTTGAATTATATCAGGCTCCTTAAACATGGTAGAATGAGTTAAAATGCATAGTGTACAGCGCTTGTTTTTTTTCTGCTTTTCCAATCTCCTCAAACGAGAACACCACCATACGTCTGAGAATTATTCTTTCAAATACTAGGAATTCCTGTTCACAAGCCTGGGAAGTAGTCCAAGTCCTACAATCAAACAGCAAGACTGGACGCACTATTGTATTATATAGACATAATTTTGCTCTTCTGGAGAGAGCTCTACTCCGGAACTGCTTTTCAATAGAAAAATAACATTGATTTGCTGTCAAGATCCTATGCCAGACCACTTGTTCATGGGTGTTGTCTTGGTTTACCAATGAGCCGAAATATACAAAAATATGAATCTTCTTGAATTGGTACTCCCCGAAGATCACCTTCTCTCCAGACTTAGCCACCTCTCCTGTAATCATATATTTTGCATACATCTCTGTAATATTTCTCCAATCAATGTCACTTAAAATACAACCTCATATCCCCTCTCGACCTCTTCCCAATGCCAAGTAATTTCAACACTTATAAACTTGGTCATTCGCTGTACAGTAATAAATACACTTTTATTTTTAAATTTGAAAAATGTAACTTTGTTTGTTTTGGCCTAAAGGCATAAAACCCTCAGGTCATCAAAGGCAATGGTTAATAAAAGTTTTATTTTCTAATGAATCCTTTATTCTGGCCAAATAAAAATTAAAGTTAGTCCCAATTATTACACATCATGAGTGCATTATTAGATATATTTTGATCTTTGACCTCTTTAGTCGACTTTGATATATCACTAAGTAATTGACATTTAAAACTGGATGAATCTATCCTAATTTTATTAAACACAATTAACAGTATCATAAGAAAACAATAATTGCAATACATTTATAAAATTCTTAAAAAAATTTAATATTATTATCTCTGGATTTGTCTTATTTTCTTTTATTTATTGACCTTCAATTTACCATTTATTTTTTTTATAATATTTAAAAGTAATGTTCTATTGTCAATTATTTTAATTTACAATTTAATAATACTTTTTTTCTGTTTAGACTTATTCTGTTAGGAGAGAGGTGTATCGTGACACAAAGGGTCTCTACTTCATTTTAGCTTTTGCTGGTATTGCATTAATGATTGCTGTTTTGATGGGTGGAGCTGTACTACGAAGGCGAAGTGCACGATCACCTCAAAATCAGGTGAAATTATAGATAACATTAATTAGATAACTAAAAATATATGACAGGAAAGGTTTCCTCAGAAAATCCAAAGTTTTGGATTATTTTTTTCCTGATATTTTTTTCTCATTTTTGTTTTGTGGTGATTTTGTTATAATCTACATCCTCTTTTTCTAAATGATTTATAAGATTTTCTGAGGATTCTAAAGCCTAATTATTTTTTATCTTTTTTATCAATCACTTTAGTTATCTATCTGAAAAGTAGTTAATGATTTCTTATAATGAAACCTGCTATTTCAGTTTCTGTTAATGTTTCAAATCAAATTTCATTTTTGTTGCTTTTCAGTCATAACAACATGTCATTTCTTACAAATTTAATAATTTAGCAGACCTGAGATTAACATTAAGACAAATTCCAGAAACATCTTTTTTTCCATAAAAGTTGGGAAGCTGTTCAAAAATCAATAATAATCTAATTAAAAAATAATTTTCTTAGCTCTGATCAAGGCCTGAATTTTGGACCGAAATGTCAGCAAAAATAAAAATAAATATAATTATTTATTATTATTATTATTTTTTTATTGATCATCCCAAACATTCTTCGATTCAATTATTCACTATAGTCAACCATCAATCCACAATAATATAATTATTTAGCAATAATTATAAAGTTTTATTATAACTGATATGATTAAATACAAAATTTTAATGGTGGATGGACATATATTTGACCATAGTTTCAGGCTGCTATCAAGCCACTGGTTCTGTGTATGTTGCTTCCTAATTGTAGTCAAAGTGGAATAATCGTTGAAGCCAACCAATCTTTTTTAATACAATTTTAATTGTTTTATTTTTCACCTAATTTATAAAATTTATTATAATCTTATATTTAATAATATTTAAAACAGTATAACAACAAGTTATATACACTGAAATCTCTCAGACAGATTTGTTTATTGCAGAAGGGTCTTCTCCATGAAAGGATTACTTATTAAAAAATTAATATGTACACGTATATATAAAAACAACTATAATTTTTGTATTACTTTAGCATGTGATATTTTTAAAATTTTTACTTATCTATTTATTTATTTATTTTTATTGTTGCCTCTAGCACGTAGGGTCATTGACAACACTTTTTGTTTATACTCTGTTATAGAATTTTATAATTTTTAAAAATTTCAAGGTTTTTTCCGTAGTGTTTTCATTGCAAATGAGACTTTCTTTTAGGCTTTGAGCCATATCCAATTTTTTTCTATCGAATGTTATTGAATAGGAGGCAGTCTTTGATGATGTATTGGACTGTTCTATGCACCTTACAACTTTCACATGTTATTAGGAGTAGTCTTCTTAGTAAATAGGCATGTGGAAATTGTCAATGCTCAATTTGTAAGCAGGAGAGGACTGTCTCTTCTTCCCTAGAGAGTCGGTTACAGGTTTTCCATTTTGGAACAGTCGCTTTTTATTTCGTTTAATATGGCTTCGTTTTGTTACCATCTGTTCAGCCACATTATCTGCAATTTTTCTTTATATGTTATAAAAAATCTTCTATTTGGATTTTGTCGATCATTCTCGCCTCTTTGGCTGTTTTGTCTGCCTGTTCATTTCCATTAATTCCACTGTGTGAAGGGACCCAGAACATTATTTCCTTTCCCTTTTCTGTTAGTTTCCACGAAATATTTCTAATAGCTTTTGCCAAAGTGGTCGTCAGTTTTTTATTTTCGATGGCTAGAATTGCAGTCTTTGAGTCCGCTACCATGACCCAATTGTTACTATCAGTTGTTTCAATGTAAGTTAAAGCTTCTCTAATTGCAATCATCTGTTCACTAAACACAGAGCAGATCCCTGGAAGTTTGAAATACTTTTGTATTTGAGAGTTAACAATTGCGCATCCTACTTTGCTGTTAACTTTTGAAGCATCGGTGTATATCACATTACACTTTTTGTGTTGTTCCATTATTTCAAGAAATAAGTTTTGTGCTTCAACTGGGAGTAGCATATCTTTTCAACAGCCATCCATCCATTCTCTATAACTGGTGAAGTATGGATCCAGGGGAGGATAATAATGTCTAACATATAAACAGTTTCTAATTATAATTCTGAAACATTTTTGAGAAATGTTTCTATAAAAATTTTCCCCCCTCTGTTGTCTGATTCTTCACCTTGGAATAGTATTTTATTTATTATATGTTTTGGGCATGTCTTAGTTTTTATACCGTATTTTAATGTTAGATATAACCTTCTCAGATGGAGAGGAAGTTCATCTGCTTCAACCCTTAGACTTTCTACTGGGGAGGTTGACAATGCTCAAGTACAAATTCTTAAAGCACAGTTGTGTACAACACCTAACATCATTAAAGTTTTCTTTGATGCAGTAAACACTTGAGCAATAGTCTAATTTACTTTTGATGGTCATGCAATATATATTTAACAGGCTTTGCCTATCTGCTCCTCAATTTGTGTGGGAGAGACATTTGAGAAGGGCAGTTCTTTTTAGGCAATTCTTCTTTAAGTAGTTTTATGTGCAGTCTCCTTCGAAGCAATCGATTCAAGTGAATTTCTAGATATTTGAAGTTATCAACAAATGTAATTTCAATACCTTCCATCCGTATTTTTGGATTGAGTGCACATCCTCTTAGCCTGCAAAAGTGCATGGCTCTGGTTTTGTTTTTTGCTGACAGTCTGAAACCATTCTCTGTCGACCATGTTTCTAAGTTTTCAAGGGTTTTTTGAATTTTCCATTCTAGAAATTTAATATATTTGCTTTCTGCATAAAGCAATATGCAGATTTTTTTTTTAAATTGTCTTTTGGGAGGTGTGTCTGTTGGAGTGGTTTCTCCTTTAGTAGAAGATTTATTATTTGTTATATGATATTATTTGTTTGTTATTTTTATTTATTATTTGTTCTATGATATTATTTGTTATATGAGATTTATTATTTGTTTGAAATATATATTCACTGTTTGAGATGTAATTTTTTCTTTCTCATTCTCCTTTTTAATTATGACTTTGGGCATTTTTCAATGATAGATCATCATAATTTCGGAAGCAATGCCTGAAAAATTGTTAGCGGTTCATTGACACATTGTATATATATTTTCCATAAGTATACGTATATAGAAAACAATGAATAACTTGGCTAAATAACCAATTAGTGTAAACCAACAGGTATAGATGAATCACAGAATCTAAAAAAGGATTGTATAGTTAATGATGGTCAGAGCCATATCCTATCTAACATCTAGAGAAAGTATTATAAATTTTCTAAATTCACCAAAGCATGGTTGTAAGATTGAACTGTTTCAACAGTATACAGTCATAAACCACTACTGAGGATTTGATTATCTGAGAGCACAACTGCTCCAAGATTTCACCATCAACTGAGCTTACTTCTTCATCAACTATTGCACCAGGAAATTACAATAACTACAGTTTCCTTTTCTATTGTATTCTATTGTTTCCGTATAACGGATTTCTTGTTTTTCGATGTCGATTGTATATTGTTATGGACTATGTTGCAAATACATTTCCGAAATTGATAATTCACAGGTATATTCTATATTCTTTTCATTGTTTTATCAGCTGATTTTGTATTAACATTGATTATCAAACTACCCATTCCAAAACTTTTTTCATCAGTAGATATGCTTCTAGTGACATTCTTTGTAGTCTATATTTATTGTAGTTTTAAAATGCACAAAAGCAATGACATTGTATTTAATTTTTTATTCTCGTTTAATAATATAAGTATATCTAGTTATAAATATATGAACAAGAATTACGATAGACTGACTATTCTGTAAAATGCCCTCGAGTAATACAAGGAAAAAGCTTGTAAATATATGAGTATATTATATTATAATTATATATGTAATAATTCAAAATAAATTATAGAGGAAAAGAAAATATACAATACATTTGCTTCTAGTTTTATCCTTTCTTTTTCAAAAATATAAAATATTAATTTATAACTTAAAATTTCAGGGTTTCATTGAGGTAGATCAAGCGGCTACTCCAGAAGAAAGACACGTAGCCAATATGCAGATCAATGGATACGAAAATCCAACATACAAATATTTCGAAGTCAAAGAGAACTGTATGTAAAGTATGTACTTTAACATTTTATTAAATTATCATTAATTGAGAAAGATACCCCCAAAGGTACAAACCCTTCGTAAAAATGTTTAATGAAGTTAATTTACAACTTTTAAATGTCCAGTAGTAAAATTTAAACATTTTAACTTTGTTGATGCCTCTATGGCAGATATATATATTTATAACTATAAATATATATTTATATGTAAAATAATTGAAATTACTTTTCAGAAACACAAATAAAGTATAAGAGATGTGGGGGACCTCACAGAATGTAAACGTCAGCCAACTTGTATATTTCCCCCTTTTGGTTGAGTAAGCCAGTAGATCTTGGAGGTCCTGTGTATTTTGATACCTAGCTCGACATAGAGGAACCTTGTACTTATATATAAATTTGATGTGTTAGCTTAGAATTTGTGCCATATTTCTGTATAATTTTCTTTTGTATAATTTTATTATTTCTTCTCTCTTTTCATTTTATATTTAAAAACAATTTCATCCCACATCTGAGGCTTACTGAAATTAGTTGCGTGTAATCACTTGTGTGTAAAGTGTGAATAGGTGTGTCGTATACCCTATAATTAAGTAGAGTTTTAATACTAATGCTATCACCCTAAAAAAGTACTCATCACAAGGAAAATGAATCATTTGCAGTATTCAACATTTGCATATACTGTTTCTAGCACTTATAAAAAATATTTGTGACATCTTACTTGAAAATTTCACATCAAAGCTTTTCAATAATAATGTTAGTGCATTTCCTTTTAAGATAATTAGTTGGGATTCTAATAAGAAAGTCCCTCCATTCATAATAAATTTTTACATTTTTTTAAGTAAAATGCACATTCCGCACAAGTACATATTTTATTTATGTTTTTCTTAATTTAACTTGTGTGTTTTGTTTTCTTCCTTTGTAATATGGTGTAAGTATTTATTAATAAACTTATAAATATGAAAAAAATTGATGATAATTTGGCACATAGTTAGTGCCATCACTCTTCGGTAGGTTCCTCTATACTTTTTTTAAATTTTTTTTGTGCATAAAAAATGAAGATAATAATTAATATTAAAATGTAAAATTCAAAGATGCATTATACATTTAAATAAAATTATACAGACTATGATAGTATATAACCTGTTGTATGTGACTGTTGCTTTACTCGATGTAGCTTAAAGTGGTATTTTTTTTAAGTTAGTGAAATATGCAACATTGTAAATTGTCTATCGCTGCTATATACTTTGTTATGTTGTAAATTATAAATACTAATAAATTATATGTATTACCTCTACTATAAAATATAAACTGATTATTATGACATCTTACTTTAAATAAACTTATTATAAAACATTTTTTAAAAAATTATAAAACTGATATATCTCAGTAACTCATCATAGCTGTTCATATTATACGTTCCATCAAGCTGTGTCACATTCCAAAAATGTTTTAATAATATGAAAAAATAACGTAGTTATTTTGTAAACATTCCTAATAAGGTTTTGTAAAGTTTGTATTTATGAAGAATCTCATTTTGTTAAGCTTTATTCCAAAAATAGATTAATAGAGCATAAACTGTTATTTTGATGTACTTCTATTCTAAACTACATTAGTTCAATAAATAAATACCTGTATAGACATGGTATAGGTAAGAATTAAAGTGTTATAGGATAATTATACACAAGAAATAATATCAGATGGAAGATATTGATTTCATACATAAATAACAATTTATATTATCTTTCCAGATTCCTTTATAATCTTTTTCCAAATGTCATGAAGAAAAGTCATGTAAGCAACTTTCATGCAAAATGAAGTGTTTTTTAAAACATGGAACTTATTGTGAATTTATTTGTTAATATGATGCAAAGAACATGTCCACTAGTATTGTCCAATATAAGAGTGTTATTATCAATATTTTAATTACTGTAATTTATTTATTAAATAAAACTTAATACCTTTGATGTATCTTTTCTTTTTATTACTATACCCAATTGTTCAAAAAATTATATGACTTTTACCAACAATACAGCACAGCAACTTTTTTATTTATTTTTTTTTAAATGCATTCTATACTGGGATTTTTCTCCCCTTCTTAATAATAGAGAAAACAAAAGTGGAATTTATAAATTCAATTAAACTGTATACAACTGAAATCCATGAAATAGTTTCTGCCATCCTACTAGGCTGAAATAGCTTCAGTATTTGAAAACAACCTTAAAGCATTACAATAATAATAACTAATTAATTGAATTCCCCTTTTAAAAGTTACGTAAAAATATTTTTATATATCTGTAATCCTCTTCTATCCTAAAAATCCACATAAAAATATGCTTTGAAATTTGGGTAAATAGGTATGTTTAGAATTATTATAAGTCTAAGTAGACTACAACTCACAGCCTATTCACCAGACACTCTAAATAATGTTGAAGATACAATAATGACAGTAATGAATAATATGAAATTAAATTACATATTAGACCAAATTTAATTTATTTTCCCTCTAAAATATACAAAACTTTAATGCAGGCATTGATTAGCTCAGTGTTTTTCACCTTAAGGACCTAATAAACTTTATAAAGTCCTCCATCATTGTTTGTGCTTTAAGGATTTAAAGTTCAAATACCATTGTTTATTATTAAAATGATTTGATAGATCATTAAATCTTCATAGTTACTGCAACTTTTTCGCTAAAATCAACTAACCGGAATTGACTCTTTATATCATGAACTAAACACATTTTTACGATTTTCTCGAAAACGGCTCAAACCATTTTGATTAAATTCATTATTTTAGTGGAAAATTAAGTAGTTTTAAATAAAATGTAGGTTTTATTCTGATTGCTGTTCTCTAACAGGGCTTAAATAGCTAATTTTCAATATTAGCTTTGTATAAAGTATCTTTATTTTTATTTATTTGAAACAATTGACTATTTCACATTCATCTCTAATATACAAGATAGATAAATATAAATATAAAGAATTTGATGATTAATAAAAGGTGAAATAAGAAATCCTAAAGGAGAATAGTTGAAATTAAGGAACCAAAGGAATACTAATGCTCCTGAGCTCGCCCGAAAGATTAAAGCACGTTTCTATACGTAACATGATCTTAATATAATAAGGAATCTGACAATATTTTGCAAATATACATACAATAAATGCTTTTGTTGGTATTATTTAATATTTAATTGTATAGATTACAGCGATATAAATATTAAAATTTGTATATATAAGGGTACTATAAATCAAATATAGAATGGAAATATAAATCAATATAGTGTTTATAATTTTTACTTTCAATTCCCCTTTGCCTAAAAATACTTATTTCTGCAAAGAAGGGGATGGTAAGTGAAAGTTGTGTGATGTGCGCACCACACCAGATGATTTTTTTTTTAATGCAATATACTTTATTCATTCTAATCATTTTTCTAAAATATGGATATGTTTCATTCAAATAATTTGTAATTATTCAAATAAAAAAAAAATCAAATAATTATTATTCGATTACTCATAGGGTAATAATGAATACTTTTATTCTCTGTGTTACGGAATTGTGAATAAATGGTGTATTTATAATCCATAAATAAAATACAATATCAATTTTATTCATAATTTTTTATTTTATTTTCAGAATCAATTTTGTCCAACACTGATATTTATGAATTTCTCTAGGTAATAAGAATGGGAACAAAAAAACATTCACTTTACTATTAGAATCAATATTAGTTTATTATAAATTTAAATAATTGTCCTGTATTACATTAAAAAGAAATTTTCTTATTTTTATTGTATGTGAGATACAGTGGAAATTTTGCTGTTTTCTGAAAGTGCTATTTTTTTTATTTTGAATAAAAATCAGTTTTCTCCAAGCCCACCTGAAAACAGTTAAATTAATTGTTAGATTAAATAACGTATTTTCTGGCAATCAACATCAATATTATATATTTCATGACAATATACATCAACATGCATGCATAAAGAATGCATTTTCTGACAATCAACATACCTTCTTCGCTTCTTTGGCAGCACAGACTGACACTTGATAAGCAAACTCACATTGATCTGGACCTACTTCTGGATCTGTAAAGTTGATTTTAAAAGCAATGAAATATATATAAAAAACTGAAACATTAATTTTAAAAAAAATTATAATTTAGCTTCTTATATAAATTTACGCATGCGCTAGCGAAAGTACATGATGTAATTTGATGAAATTAATATGGTTCCAACTAAGTACCAACCACCACAGTCTTTAAACATTTTATGAATATGAAACAGCATTAGGTTATATGCTCGTCAAACGGCTTTGACCACAAACAGACCAACTGATAGAAACGAAACAAAATTTCTTCCTGGAAACATTTTACGCTAAAACGCTAGCGCAAATTTTCGACTCTGAGCGAAATTGTTTGTTAATCTCCCGCAATAATATAAAGCTTCCCTTCCTTTGGTAATAATGGAATATATCTATCTTATGGAAACCAGAACAGAACGGTCCTACAAAGATTAAAGAATTACTACCATCCTCTAAGTTTCTTTCCTAAAAGTAGCTTTCAGCTTCAGACATACACAAAATTAAAGAGCTACCTAAAAAGCACCCTTCAACTTATCAAGTTTTGGTGTTATCTTGAGGTTGATAAAACAAATCTTTGTATACGCTGTTCAGAAAAATATGGCTACAATTAGGTTTGGAACCCGGAAATCAATGGAAGAATGAACTTAATTTTTTAAAATTATTTTCTTCATTCCTTATAATGTCTTGTTGATTATAAACTTTCTGTTTATTATTGTTTCCCACGATCAAAATTATGTGATTATTCAATGGTTTATTAAAATTCCTAACTGTCTAATCCTAAATTCCCAGCAGTAAAATTAATGATAAAATAAAAACAAATATACTCACATTGTTTAGCACAAGTTTCGACGATTTCTTTTCCTTTAGCTGCTTGGTCAGGATTATCCTTATGAATTACGTCGACCATGACAAGGGCATTTTCTTTGTTATATTTTCCATTTTGTAGCTGGAAACAGAAAAACAATTTTAAATATTAACACATAATCCTTAATTCGTAAAGAAATATCTACTTATAATCCCACGTTAATGTGGTACAGTTATACCATTACAGATATATTCTATATGTTGGTAGTTATACTGTAAATACAATTATTCTGAAATAGAATTTTAGTAGTTGAAATGATTAATTGGGGGTTGATTGCAATTCAAGGGATACCCAAAGAAGAAAGCTCAGAGATCTCATACAGAAACTTTTTGAGCCATTTTTCTAACAACAGAAAAATCCATTAGGTAATCAGTTTTACAAAAAATATTAAGAAAGGAATATATATAATCCCCTTTATGTCTGAACTTTTGAGCGTTTTCGAATTACTACAAACTTATCAACAAATTGAATAAGATCCTATATTGCTTGGAAGATGTTTAATCCAATGGTAAAAATACCATAAAAACAAATAAAATAATTATCACTGATATATCATAATTGTGTTTCAAATGCTAACTAAAAAATACTTACGATCTTTCCTTCCTCAAGAAAGCAGGCCATGTAGCACTAAAAGAAAACAAAATGTGTTATTAGACAGAAAACGTTACAATCAAAGAATAATTCTAAAAATATGTATATAAAATATTTTTGTTCACCTTAGCTTCGTGTGAGAATTGAAATTCAGTATCTTTTTCCTTCAGCTTTTGAATTTCATCTGAAAATTAAGTAAGTATAATTTTTAAATTTTTCTCAATATCAAGAATTTATCAATTTGTTTGATAATGTTATTTATGACCCTTACCTTCTTTAATGGCATGTTTTTCTTTGCATTTTTCAGCGGTTTTCTTAAATTTCTCCTTAATGTCATCTCCCTGCAAAGGAAACATTTTATATTATTTTTAATTATTACATCTCTATATATGATAGCTTTAATTTTTTTTTTTTTATGTTCGGATATTATGTCCTTTGTTTGAGGTCGGCCAAACCAACAAAGTGATCATCCTCATATCTTTGCCGAAAATGGTACATGTTTGGGTTTGAAAACGCAGAGTACTTCCAAAGGATATGTTCCGTATCGATTCACTGATTTATCACCGTTCCAGTATTGAAGCGTAGCAAAATGTTTTTATCGAATTTATTTATTTTAGAAATGAAAAAAAAAACCAGAGTACGATTCGCTTACCCCTCTTGAAAATGTGAATTTAGCAGTATCCTATTCATGACATTTGAGCATGCCAGGAAATTATATTTGGTACAATACCAATTTTGAGCCTTACTGTAATAATATTAAAACCTCATTTAAAGATATAATTACATATATGAGTACAAACCAAATGTACTTTCCCTACTCTTGATCTCTCTAGAATCTCTTAAACAGTTTATTGAAGGCGAAACATAATACTATTTGTTAAATCAATTGAAAAAAAAAAAAAAAAATTGTATCCATGAACTAGAAAAAGAACAACTTTAGTTTTGTCGAGTTAATCATCAATAATTAAGATTAATCAGGGCAATCTTCTTACACTAAAGAGAGTTCACCTGAAGGTTAAAATCCGTAGGCTAAATTACAATAAGGTGATGCCTTAGGAAGTCGCGCAGCGAAGGAAGGGGGTTTCACTAGATAGGAATTGAAATAAAACTTAAATTTAGAATAAAACACACCGATCAGTGTATGGTGGATTTTTTCTATTATACTTATGATTCAACTTTTGTTATTATATGTACATGAATCCATTAAACATTGAAAATTCAGTAAATGTAGTTTTTCCTTGATTGATCACAAAGATTTATTATCCAACTCTAGTTCTTTCTGTCCATTTTGTCTCGTCATTAAGCCAATTGTGAATCTCATTGAAAAACGATTTAAAACTAAGATAAAATACTTACACGAATATAGATATCGTCCTATATATTCCAACTCCACGAAAAGACATTCTGGAATGACAAAGTTCTAACCGCAAAATATCATTATTCAAAATGATTTTAATGAGTGGTACAATCAAATCATCAATGAATGCAAATATAAGCTCACTGCTTCAAGGTGTTGTTAAAACAAAATTGTTAGTGTATGTAAAAAAATATTCATACTACAGTCAATTGTAACTTTGAAGCTCTTTCCTCAAAATTATGATAGATGCAATTAGAATCTTTTCAAAACAAGGACACAATCTGTTCATTATTTGGTATTGAATAAAAAGTTGGTAATTTAATTAAGTGATTTGCATTTATTTTGTTTAATATATTTGTCGTTCGATCCAAATATTTCTATTATTCGTACAGAAATAAGGAAAATGAAATGTACAAGGTTTTTACTTGAAATAGACTATAATGTCCGCATTGAATAGAATATTATATAACAGAGATCAGTGACAACAATATACAGAAATAATTACCTCTTGACTTCCTCTTTTAATTATCAGACTATTGTTGCACTTGTTCCTGCACAAAATTGCTTTAGACTTCCCATAGTTTAGAAGCATAATTTTTTTAAATAATTATTATATTCAGAAAAAAATTGAATTGAAGGACAAAAGTATCACTTGTTTTAATAAATGTTTAATTGGATATTAATATCTGAAATATACATTTATACGTATTTATATCCAGTCAATTGTTTTTATTTTAGAGGAGAGAGACACTTTCTTTTCATATAAAATATAAAAGCTTGCTGAACAATTATATTGGATTGCTAGTATACAGCATATTAAATCTTTCTCAGTAAATGATTCTTTTGATCTTAGTCTATTTTTTTTTATTTATAAAATTTCATGTTTATAAAAATAAAAATCTGCTGGAATTAGGTTATCAAATCATTAACACACATCTCGAATTCATCAGCCCATTGCTAACATTTTTCAAACACTTTATTTAAGGAAATGCCTCTACATGACTACACATTGCCCAAAGTGCAAGTTCATCAGTACTTTACATAAGTACCTCAATTCCTGCTATAGAATTAAGAGTCTGTATTTGGGCATCTATGATTATACTGGATAGAATTGGGGTAAAGATGGAACCCTCTGGAAGGTTTTGTTTAATCTGTCTGTATTTGGATGTTCTTTGTCTATAGCTGACGCCAGTAAATCTTATAAAAAGACGTAAGAAAGATGCAATGTTTTCAAACAAATTGCTCTGAACACCTGAAGGAATTTCTTTTTCCAAACCCTATCGAATGCAATTTTGAAATATACAAAAACAGTGAGCATACATTGTTTGCTTTGATATCCATCTTTAATGTCTAGTGAGAGATGTATTACATACTCCATACATAGAGCGGTATTTCATGTCATGTGTGAAAATGTAACATAATTCTTGTGAAATGACCGAATATAATATTAAGACAGAGAAACCGTCTCCATAACATAGGTTCATGTCTTCATTTCTAGAACTTTTTCAGCTAAAAATGAATAATGTTAAAAACTTATACTTGTAATATTTATACTTGTAGTTATTAAATATATTTTTCCTACTTTATAGCAGAAATGTTATAAGAAAATCATGTGAAAATGAAGGTGATTACATGAAAGGCGAATGGATCATAAAAACCTAGAATATGTTTCTATATTATTATCAATGAAAATTTAAATGATAGGAATTTTAAGGTCATTATAAAATAGTTACATACCTACTTACAGATCTTAGCCTAGTCGCCTTTTCTAATATTCTTAATCGATTTTATTTTACATATTTTATTCATTCATGTAGCTTATTTTTTATCATTTTTATTTTTTTTAGTTCAAATTATTGGGGGGTGGCGAAACTATATTCTCGCTCCCTCAACATTTTTATTGGGAGGGAGTGATCGTTTGTGTACGCCATATCTTTGCTAATACTTGTTCAATTGAGACGATTGATAAAATTTATCTGAAATCGGTAGGGAAGTCGCCAAATCAGTTTTAAATTTCAGTCTCAGATTCACTTTTTTAACGCAAACTTTTCGCAAGCTTTTCGAAAAGTAACCTTGTACTTTTAACCGAGCTATCCTGGTCACGAACTTTCTATGATAGGAATGAAATTTATAAAAAAAAATCGTTAATTATGTCTCTGACTTTATCCATCATAGACAGATATAAAAATCTATAACCTAATCAATTATAAGGTCTTTTGAAACTAATAAAATATACCGTTTTCGACAGATTTTCTACAGACTGTAGAGCCAAAACGGCTCTAACAATTTTGAAGAAACTTTCCTAAAACACCGTCTAGCCTGTTTTTAAAGGTGATTAAATTCTCTACAAAACTATATAAAAATCGTTCATTTCGGACAACTATTAACGAAGTTACAGCTGTTCAATTTAAAATGTAACATTACGGGTTTCTATCCTGCTGTCAGAAAGGGGTGAATGAAAGAGAAAAAGATAACTAAGTGAAAGAAACAAAATCTGTTGGCCGCATCACAGAAGCTTCACTATTTCTTCCACTTTTAACAGAAATTATTATGTGACAAAATTAGGCTATGGCAAAAAGTTTTTGATTAGAAATATTAGAGGGTATTGAATTTTTTACATTTCAGCTACCTTAAGCCGGTTTACATTGCTTTAGTTTATCAAATAAATCGTACTCAAATCTTTTCTTTGATCAACTTTCAGGATTCTAATTCAATTTTTTTTGTGTTTCTTAATGGGCACATGTAAAGATATAAAAACTTTTTTAAAATATTTAGGAAAACCGTGTGAGTGGACACACCAGATTTTTTTATGTTTCAAAAGTTAAATATTTTACAAATAATTGTTTTATTTTTAATTTGAATCTAACAAAGCAATTTCTATTTTAATGAGTATTTCACGCAAAATAAATATATCTTCACTACTATCATTTCATATGAAGGCATCACTACAGCAATAATTGCGCTAAAAATCGTGATCAAAATTCTAAGTTTTAACTTTTTTTTTTTCTCCTCTTGTCCAACTGTGTGGCACCTTTCTGGGACGAGAATGCTGATAACATACAATATACTATGGGAGACTATCTTCATTATTTTATGGTTTGGAGAAAACAGTCCTACACTCGATAAAATAATCCTGTTAAAAAAAAAAAATTGGCTCAAAACATAACTCTTTTTATGTATAATCCATTTTTACTTATTTAAAATTTTTAAATTCCAAATACTTATTTTTTTAAAATTACCGAACGATAGAATAATTAGTACCTTTTTTGGTGGATCGCACACTATTTTAAATTTTATTTTTACGTTTATACACTATTTTAAACATTATATTTAAATTTTAGGGGCCTATTTTGCCGATAATCGGCGGTACATTTTTGTCAAACAAAACGGACAGAAAATATGTGAATCGACGAAAGGAAGTCTTTGAGAAATAATATATTAGAAATTCTTAGCAACCGTTGCAGCATGATTCACTATCGCTAGTATAAGGTTGAACCCATGCCTCATCTCAAAAACGGTATATTTTAGGATTTCAAAACGCAGAGCCCAATAATCTTTTAGTCCTATTTATTATTAGTTAATTTCCAATAGAAGCATAATGTCCGCCTCAAAATGTATAAACGACAGCTTATCCCCGACTTTTGAAACATCCTATTTTTTCAATGATTTTTACTTTATATGTCCTAAGATTTTAAGGTTTGAAATCAGAATTTATCTCTTCTACATGAAATCTCCTTTCATTTGATAACTCATTCATCAATATCCATTTCGGAAATTATATTTTGATACTGACCTTAGCTAAGACGATGAGAGCTGAGATGGCGATAACTACGAGGAAGGATTTCATCTTGTCTGGTGTTGGGATACAACTTGCTGGAGTACTCCAGAGGATGGCCCTATATACCAAAGCCCCCTCCAGGTCTCTGTTGACGTCCAATTTCCGACATGCGATCCTCCTGGGTGAAAGACCTCGACCTGTTCTTCCGTCAATCGACGAGGATTATTAAAAAAAATAATAATAATTCATACAAATCAAAATATTTCTTTATGAATCAGATGAGTTTTCAAAAATATTTTTTGTTAAATGAAAAGTTTGTGTTCTGAAGTTTCATCGGTCCATTTTGACATAAATGTCTTTAGTTTGAAGTAATGAATGTAAAATGACAATATAAAAATATACACCGATAAGTATTTTTCTTGATCATGAATAGAATGATTGTTAAGCTTTAAAAACAGTTTTATTAGGATAAAAATGGTTTCATCAAAACTTCCCCTTATAACTCACTTAGAACGAAGGTAATTTAACAGAAAATAGTCTAATATGTAATCACCTGCATTTAAGGTTTTTCTTACATTTAGCTTTATTGCCATATTCCTATGTATGGCCATCCATACTTAAGGTATGTCAGGCTCAGGACAGCATCCAAGTAGTTTCTAATAGGCAAGTTCAAAAGCTTCCGGAAATCTCTTTCATTTAGAAGATTAATGTTCTCATCAATCTTCCCATGCACGAAATAATCTCCAATACTGAGTTTTCTGTTAGATTTCGTTTCTTATCATTCTCGAGATCTAGTTATGCAGCTGGTTTCAAGTTCTCTCCACAGACAATCCTTCAAGACAGAGGATCCAGTTTTCGAGTACTCCAATGATTTCCAGCTTCGCGATCTTATTGTTCTTGCAACGTTGTGTTCTAGTTCTTGAGGGGCAATCAACATCTTTGCTTGTCTCGGTAGCAAGTCTTCAGTACATTTGTTAGTGAGTTTTATTACCTGAGCAGTAATCTGTGTACTCTTCAGTTTGATCTCGTTTGTGAGGAACCACCGACATACTTGGGGCTTCCTCGGTGCTGTAGCAATGAGGCGATTTTCAATTGTTCTTATTAAGGCTCGAGTATGGAAGCTTCTGTGGATTTACATTCTCATTCTTCTCCCTGTTGTTTCGAGGGGGTACTTGTTTTCTTTTCTTTTTCACAATCGTTTCACCAAGGTGCATGGTATCATCCAGACAGTCGGGAGATGAATTTGGGTGCCGGTATTTCACCTTTGGAGTTTCAACTTGATGTACAAACTGCTATAATTGGGTACTTCTTTCAGTTCCAAAGTTTACTTTGGTTTTAGGAGTAGAGCTTTTTATTTGTGTAGTTAGTCATCAGTAAGAACGCGTCCTGTTATTTTCATTCCAATAAGCTTAAAACCTCCCCAAGGACAATGGTGCATGTCGGAACTTTCCAAATTGATTGCTACCCTCGTTTTAAAAAATGTGCATTTGAAAGTAAAATATAAAAATTGTATTTATTTTTTTTTACAGTGTCCCTTAATCTAAAAGTTCACTTCAATTGAAATCACAGACAATTTGGTTTTCTCCAAAAATCGCTTAAATGTTATGCCCCTCAAAAGTTATTATGATCCAACCTCTGTCATTCAATCCCCTTATGAGTACCAGTCCAGCGCTTTATTTATATTGATTGTTATACTTTATACATTTACGAGAAGCTACCGTAATTTCCAACAGTGTTTCCAGATTTACTGACAGATAAAATTATTGCATCGTTCCTTTGGGTAGTAGCTTTCCTCGACGAACAGTCTGCCTGAAGCAAAAATATTTTTTCGAATTGGGCATGCTCCTCATAAACTTAGGACTTTTAAATAAACTCTTCTGTCTCGTGTATTAGTTTATATATTCATCATCATATTAAATCCTCTATCCAGCATTCCCGAAATCTGAGTCTGAATCGTTAAAATGCAACTCCCACTGCACACAAAACAGAACAAAAGAAAAAACAAATTAGTATTCTTGATAATTAAGATATTCCTGATTTCTGATTACTTTTTTTTTTAACCATATTTTAATTTTAGAAAATTCCAATGTCTTATTTAATACACTCATACAACATTGTTTATCTGACAAAAAAACATTTTTTGTCTATTTTCCTTCAAAAACAATAGACAACCGCGCTGTTTCGAAAGTTGTCAGTGGAAGGGGGGTTCCGTTTTTAATCCATTTTCTAGAAAGCGACTATGAAATTTTTAGAGATGAAGGTTACTTATATATTTTTTTCCTCTCTACATTTCGACACCCACCGAGACCCCCGTTGGAGCAATTCAATACAAACCCCTTTATGAATATAGTATGATGAAACCCTATAAATTTATGTTATAACATGCTTACCCGCAGGGGTATCCATCCCCCTCCCCCGAAGTCGATGGCGCTGGAATCTAATCTCTTTCTCCCTTCATCCAAGATATTTTATTTCTCATATTTTCTTAAAACAGAGAAAGGAGAAGTAGAATTAGAAAAATTGTAGATCATAAATAATTATAATTGCTGCTGTCTGTTCCATGTTTTTCCCTAGCTTCTTATTCTAAAATTTTTATTCCGAAAATTCATAACCTTTCATAACATGTTAAAATGTGCCCTCTTAAAAATTCAAAAAACCCGTCCAAATATGCCTTTCTCAAAAATTTTGATTGCGCAACTTGCTCCATAGAACCTTCTTCTGATCACCCTTGCTTACCCGAAAAAAAGTGGTAGAAGGATGTCTGATGAATACAAAATTTTATTTCAGTATAACTCAAAATGTATGCATTAATTTTAAAGTTAACGTTTTTCCTGGACCATTTATTGCAGAGATATGGCGTTTTGGATTTTGTAATCCCCAAGTTTTCTTGGAAATTTTATCTCCGTTATTTGTTTTTTTGATGTATCCAACCTACGAATCTAATGCTACTGGAATTTTTTCTTCCATTTCCAATTTGTTCCATTTCCACCCCCTACAAAAGTTAAACTTACAATATGAAAGCACTTTACAGAGGGGTATCAGATATCGGTCTTAAGGAGAGAACCGGCAAAGGTCGGGCGCTCTCGGTTGTTTCCGTATATCTTCCTACTCTTATTTATTCTTTAGTCACAAATCAATTTTCTTCATTAATCTTATTATGTAGCCATTTTTTATATCATCTTACAGTGTGAAATGGTTATTTTTTCAAATAAATTTTGAAAATTAGGCATTTAATCTCTTTAATTAGATGCCTTATATCATATAATCTTTAACTAGAGAACATCAATGAAAATAAGACCTGCATTGTATTAAAAGAGTCATTTTCTAGAATATTGTAAAAATGAGTAAAATCGGTCATGTAGAGTGGCCGTAAAATGTAAAATGTACCGTGTAAAATGTGAAATTGCACTTTTTTAACGAAATTGCACTTTTCTGTTCCATCCCCGACATATACACAAACCTTAAATAAGCAATTTTAGTTGCGGACGACATTTCGTTTTTGAGCTAGATTATTCTCACATGCTGTTTGGCGGGATTTGGTTATTTGGACTCAGGGTACCTCTCAAAACATGTATTCCTGTTTTTTTTTGGCACTACAGACCATGCAGATCTTTGACCGCGAGATGTAGTCTTCTTGACCACAATATATATATATATATATATATATATATATATATATATATATATATATATATGTGTGTGTGTGTGTTTTATATCAAATGAATATTTATAAAATTACCTAATCTTAGCAAACAAATGTTTCCCTATGTTGTAAGCAATGCTCTGTGTGTCGATACCCTATACAAATTTAATTTATACCTGTTTGAATATAATAATTAACATTTGGTTTTTAATTATTGTCCATTAGTTAATAATTTACAAAGCGGTTATTTCTCTGTTATGCATCTAGATAACAATTTAATCCTTTTTCGTCTTTTTTAAAGTTAATAACAAGTGGAAAATAGAATCTCAATGACGGAGTTTTGCTTCTCAGACTTTTTTTTTAAACTTATACATTAAATAATTTGTAAAATTTACAGCGATTCTTAATTTTTCTCTAAATATTTATTATGAGAAGGCCAAGGAACGAAATGTCTTTGGCAACAATGTACTGAGGCAACTTTAATGATGTCGTTTTGTACAATATTACCTTTACATGAATGGACTCTTTATTGAAGAAATTTCAGAAAGATTCCCATTCTGTGAATGTAATCGTGTATTTTCCATTCTTGGATCTTAGATGTACTTAGAACGGATGTTGTATGTACTCAATAGTTGTAATCATCTATGAAAATAACCATACGGATTTCAAAATATAAATAGTTAATTTTTTTTTTTAACTTTTGCCTAAGACGTGAATGTGATAAATACGGTTAAGGGTTCATGCTTTTCTTGAACTGCGCAAAATGACAAAAAAACTACTCCCAAAAAAATTTAAAAAACTAAGGTGTGTGCTTTAGGCCTACGTGATATAAGTGAAAACATCAACAAAGCGAGATTAATAATACAAAATATAAATTATAAATAATAGCTCATTATAAAAGGAATGATATGTTACAAACTTCTCTCGCTTTCATTATGCGGGTCCGACTGTCAGTTGGAGATATTTTAATCCATATCTTCAATAAAACTCGTTATCGTTTCGTTTTTGATACTATGTTTTTCCTTTTCGCCTCTCTAACAAGGCGCAAAATGGGACTAGTAAGGAAAAACTCGCGACATAGGCTAAAATTAGTTGTCGTTCTTTATAACTGAAAAAACTATATTAAATGTTTTATTGATGTCTTCTGAAATTGTTGAGAATGTTTTCAATTGGCAGAATATACATTTTCACTGTTTTTATTGAATAGTTCAAATGAAAACCTAGTCATTTTATAGAATTTATCACGATTAGTATGTTTTGTAAAATTGCTTGGTTTGAGCTGGTGGTTGATAATTTTTTCTTGAAACTGCATCAACATTTTACTATCATTCTGCTTAGCTAGAAAAATATATAATAATGTATACAACTTGTTTTACTTCGAGTCTTTTTCCCTTTTTGTTAAAAAAAATTGGTGTTTTTAAATCAAATTTATACAAATAT